AAATGGTATAGGTTTAACGCCCCTATCAACACTATTAGGTTATTTAAGAGGCGGAGCCTCCGAGTTCTAACGTCCATCTCCGAAAGGACTGAGCCAAATAGGAAAGTCGTGTAAAGTGCCTTTCCCGAGGACACAACGTCGGACCGAGCTGAGGCTCAAACCCCCGAACCCGCAATCTCACAATTACGAGTCCGGTAGCCTAATCACTGGGCTACCGACGCCACCCCAGAGAGAATGGAAACCTTGGGACATACGTAGTAGGTCACGTAAACTCCAAAAGGAAGGGCTGGCTGGACTCATTTCGCTACCTTAGAATTACAAAGTTCTATTATTATATCTGACACTTTTCGCCGTTTTGGGTTACTATAAGGCAAGAAACCAAACGCTCTTTCCGTTCAATCAAAATCGCAGGATTATTCAGAGTCGTCGTCAAGATATTCAAAGAATTGAATTCGAAAAAACTTGGCATGTTGTGAAACTCAAAATCTTTGGAGTCAAATTTATCTAAACTAGGTATCGAGCAGATATAGCTTTGTAATTCTAGGGTACCAATTTATAGGTGTATCATGACATTTTTTTCTCTGTTTGAAATGTTCTGTTCTGATTAACGGTCTGTTGCATTAAACTGGAGTGTCGTGAAGCCCACAAGGGAAGTAACCCACTTAGAGGGAAAAAAAAAGTATACAGGGGAAGATACTGGCATTTTTTATTTTTTCCCCCTGAAGCATTAAGGGGACACAATCCAATGATTGCGTTATTGCTCGTTGAAATGAATAATGTGCAAAATTATAATATTAACGTTTAACGCCCCTTGCAAAGCAAACTGGCCTTCCTTCGTCTTTGTTATAATAATATAACGTATTGTTAGTAATTTTATTTTCAAAGTGAGAGATCTGTTATCAGTGTTTGCATAAAACTTACAAAATGATTTAGATCGAGATCCAAATGTCTCCCAATGTGCTTGTAACTCTTGCTGTATCCTTTAACAAAAAAATATATAATAAATGTGTTCTAACAAGTATTGTTTATTGTTCATGTTTCTTATATTGCTCGAATCTGTTTTTGTGCTTTTGGGTGGTTTGAGGGTGCAGGTCTTACTTTTCCCTTTCTCCCTGTTTCTGTCTATCTTACATTTTCCCAGCTCTAAATGACCGTCAACAATAAAAATAATAATAACAATAATAATAATAATAATAATAATAATAATAATAATAATGATAATAATAGTTGTATTTATATAGCGCATATCCACGATCCATAATGTGCTTTTCAACTGTTATTACCCCAGGAAATCCTAGAACACTCAAAAAGATGCTTGGCTTCCCAGAAAATATATTGCAAGCTGCAAATTTCACGCACTCAAACACAATCTGACAAGATCTGTGGCCGTGCCACTTTTCACTCAAACAAATAAACGATCCAACATGTTTTTTTTTCTAGCTAGTTTTAGTTTTAGTAAGGCGTTCGCAACTTTATAAGGTCATATGAGCGCCAAGGGGTGGATGTCAACAGAGAAGTCCAAACGGGGTATCAGGCTTACTCTGTTCATCTCTCGAGCCTCAACAGCACAAAGTCTGCTTCAATTATCAAGGCCCCTTGGAAATAGCAGTTCACAAGAGAGTGGCAAACACACTAACGAAGCAGAGGAAAAATGACGATAGTAAGGATGAGGAAAGAAAAAGCAGCAGTTCCACCTACGTTGTTTCGGCACAGCATGAGCATGACATTGGTTAATAAGCCCATTTACAATTCTACTGTTCATTGTTAATATCCCCCTCTTTGAGAATGGCCTAAAGACGCTTATGTGAGTACCGCTCACTGGTGGGGGGAATTTTTCCTATAGTTATATTAATCGACATGGAATTGTCATGATAATGTATAGAATTAGAAGGCAGATGCCTCTCCTCCTCTCCCATCTCATGTGGACATTAAACATTCTCAGAGGGATACTGGATTGAGGACAATGCAAGCATTCAACCATAGAAAGTATAATCAATTTTTGTATAACAGCTTGGGCCAAGAACACAAGACAACTAGATAAAGAAAAATTAAATCGACTAATACGGAAAGCATGTAAAATCTCAACATCTACATCCCCCTACTTGGATGAATTGTGTGAATTGTACATAACAGCTTGCACACAAAAAAATAATTCCATCTTTTTAGACAATAAACAACCCTTGCTCCCTCAAATGAAAACATCAACCAGAAATAAAAGACATAGGCTTCTGATCTGTATCAAAGAAAGATATAGAAGGTCATTTTTACCATCTTCTATCAAAGTGCTTCCATCTTAACCATCGTGTATAAGTATACTTACGACCTTAGAGCATGCATCAAAATGACATTGAGTGTGTTTCTAGCTTACGATTATTATTGTTTATATTGCTGCTCATTTATATTATGCATGTGATTGTAAGCCTACGTGAGTGTGCATGTGTGTGTGCGCGCGCGTGCTGTGTGTGTGTGTGTGTGTGTGTGTGTGTGTGTGTGTGTGCGT